CACACACACACACACACACACACACACACACATACACACAGGGTCACCCCCTCCCACTCACCCACAGTCTCCCTCAGACACACCAACATGAAAACATTACCTGAAGACGGACAGCTGTGACATTTTACTGGGGTTCTGGATCAACACAAGAGTCAAGCCCAACAACGCTGGAGCAAACGTCAAATCCAGAAGGCCGAACAAGGTGAAAAATCCTGGGAATGATAAATGCATATTTCACAATACAGTGTATTTTGAGTCCGTAGATTGTTACTTTTTACAATCAGATTTTATGTTGCTGATATGTATGTCATTTATGATTTATGCTGGAGTCATTGAAGTCTCTTCTGTAAAATGTGTGTTTCATGTGATGATCCACGGCCAATGGCTTTAAACACCGAATAAACACGTTACTTACTTACTTTTTACCATTATTATTATTTCTGATATTATTGTTGGAAGAAAAAAAAGAGGGGGAGACCTCCGAACTGAATGTCCACCTCCGATTTGACCGAGCCATATCAGCTGAGAGCCTTGAAAACTCACTAAGCCAAGCTCAAGAACGCCTTGCCAGGCATTCGAACCAACATCATCAGCACAGTAATGTTATGGGACGATACGAGATGAGCTAATACACTGTGATGCAGTAACTGATGGCAGCGTTGCACTTGTATTACTTCTTCAATAGACTCACTAATGATTACGTTAAAGGCGTAAGGAGCAGTCTGACTCCCAATCATAATCATATAAAAGGTTGTATAATTTTCTTGCTCAGTCGACGAGCTTCCTATACCATACTTTTGTAATCGCTATCGCGTTTGTGTTAGTGTGGTCAAAGGTTCAAAGTGTTTTACTTAACCATGCTAATCGAACCTGAAAAGTGAACTTCCACTTCGTGCAAGACATTTGTTTTAATAACTAACCCTTGATATTTTTCACAATAGTAGACTGCTTAAAAAACTGTGAATTTGGGGGGATTTTTTCTTTTCTTTTGTTTGTTTCTTTATTCCGTTTTGTTTTGTTCTGTTGTTTGTTTGTTTGTTTTTTATGGTCGGTTTGGTGCTATGAAAACGGCATTTACAACAATACTCAAGAATTTGTATTAAAATCAAACATTTAATCATGTTTTATTTTAGTGAACTTTAAAATTTCGCATGTTTTAGAAGGACGTCTTTATAAAGCATACTATTGTAGGCTATTAATTTTACTTGCCCGTCTGATGTGGATCATTATTGTATTGAAGATCAATAAATTTACTATTATTTTACGTATCCTTTATACTGCTTTAGGATCTATTGCACCCCGCCCCACTCCTTTGCTTTTCTTAAATGTCCTTATTGAAGCACTCCGCTTGAACAAATTAACGCTGTGTTGAACAGCTTTTAAAATAAAATTTTCTTGATTTATTGAAGAATTGAGTAAAAATATACGACGGAAATAAACAATGGTTACCGTGACGTAAGAGAACTCTACAAGGATAACATTATCTTTTATATAGGATAAGATAATGTAGCACGTGTAGTTATGTCCTTTTAGTCCCTAAACATTTTTACAAGGTGGAACCTTCGAAGATAGTCTTGTTCCGATAGAACCAAGTTGAAAGAGTTTATTGAAATTTTCCCAGACAACCCAAGACCACGGACGCCTCGTTGCGGATTGAAACCAGGATAATCTACACCGAAGACCAGCATGATACCAACCAAGTTGTCGTGTTCAAAGCTGTGACGAGAAGAAAAAACCCCCATACACACTGTCTTGTAAAGCAAAGCTCATAAATCATTGAGCTCAAGGATTGTGAATTCAAATATCGATTTCCACTCAAGCGAGTTTGGCTAAGACTCCTGACACACTTATTGTTTTCTGTTTGCACGGCTTTTCGAGGGCTGTTACTGGTGTCTGTTGTTGTGATACCAGTCCTAAGATATAAAGGGCTGAGTATCGGACAGTCCTTCGTAAGAGTTTGGAATGCCATGTGTAGATCGACATGTTTAAATAATCTAGCATAAACACCCTTGATTTCTAAATATGTTAGGTCTTTTTTTTTTTCGATCTTTCGTTCATTGTGTCTGCCAAGGTGCTTTCAATGATTCCCGATCAGTCTTTCTTGACAGCAGTTGTGTTCTGTCTGCCACTGTACACCGCTTTACATTCTATTATCACCCCCACCTCCTGTTTATTTTTCCCCTCCCTATTTTTGCTCTCTTCCTGGGGGTTTTATATCAGTTTGGTCGTCTACCTAACAACCCATCTATCTGTCTATCTTCTATCTGACTAGCTAGCTAGCTAGCAAACTGGCTCTGCTAGCTAGATCTAGCTACACTCGATAAAGTGACTGCTTTTTATAAGGTAATTGGACACACCTCGCACGTTGTATTTACGAATAAAAACGCCACGGTGGCATTTGGCCAGATTTTATTGATACGTTTTCGGCTAGATATCTGACGACAATAAAAAGTGCAAACACACTGAAGGCACGCAGCCAATGGAACATGCTGAAGTGATAAACATTCGACACAGTAGACCCCATGGGGGCATTGTGTTGGCTTCGTGAAAAGGAATTCGAGATCAACAGACTAAGTGGTGGGTTGGGAAAGTCTTGGTATAACAACAGACTGCCAAACAGAATGAATTGGTTGGGGTCTTCGCCGTTAGTGGCCGGAAAGCTAACAGTACAAGTAAGAGAATCTAGTCACAGCGGGGACGATAGAAAGAGGAATAGTGGGGGGTTGGCGGGTGCTTTGTGTGGTTTGCTCCTTTTTTTCCTATCAAACATCTATCGTCTTCATCTCTCCTTCTTCATTTTCGTATTTGTTATTCTCTTGTAACACTTCTAAACTTCGGCACTTGCGTGAACTTATTGTGCTGCAAATGCTGTAAAACGTTTACTAAAACAAAGCAAAAAAACAACAACAAACAAACAAATTTTACAAAGAAGACGAACGGAAAAAAGAAAGATTTTTAAAAGCAAAGTCATTTTTAAAGAGGGCAGTTTTCATTACGACATTTCGATTCTTCTGTTTAATAAAAATGTACTTTGTTAATTTGGCACAGTGGATATCAAGAGTTCTCATCAGGGAAATCTTCATACAGGAAAAACATTCTTTACATATACAAGTAATGTTCTACGGGGAGGGGGGG